TGTTATACAGCAGCTTCTCTCTCTGCTGGCTCCTGGTGCTGTGCTAAGCTGGGTGCGATGCAGTTGTGGGTGGCTGTGATCCAAAGGCATGTGCTGGCAATCTGGTTCCCCTCTTTGTAGCTGTGACATTGAAATAGCGGAATAAGGACTTTCTCCTTTGAGTTTTCACATGCTCAGCAAGTTATGCAAGGTCTAGATGGCTTTTTGGAGAAAGGTGTCAGGTCACAGAGCCTCCATAGAAATCCCACAGAACTCAACCTGTGGTCTCCATCATGTCTCCTTGCACTGAGAAGGGAGAAGTAAACACAGCCAGGGCATGCAAATTCTTTCTTCCCTACCTCACCCCTTGCTCTCACATTCTTATTTAAAAACAGGGTCTCAAACCTAGACTCCGACGTGTCAGGGAAGGTGTCTCATTCCGCCAGCAAAGCCATTTAGAAACACCACTGTCTCCATCTTATCCCATTGTCACGGTTTAACCCCAGCCAGTAACTAAGCACTACGCAGCCACTCACTCAGTCCCTGCCCTCCCCCCAGTGGGATGGGGGAGAGAATCAGAAAAAAAAGGTAAAACTCATGGGTTGAGATAAGAACAGTATAATAGGACAGAAAGGAAGAAACTAATAATGATAACAACAACAATAATAAAATGACAATAATAATAATAATAAAAGGATTGGAATATACAAAACAAGTGATGCACAATGCAATTGCTCACCACCCACTGACCGATGCCCAGTCAGTTCCCGAGCATCAATCCCTCCCAGCCCCACTCTTCCTAATTTATATACTGGGCATGACGTCACATGGTATGGAATACCCCTTTGGCCAGTTTGGGTCAGCTGTCTTGGCTGTGTCCCCTCCCAACTTCTTGTTCCCCCCCAGTCTTTGTGCTGGCTGGGCATGAGAAGCTGAAAAATCCTTGACTTAGTATAAACATTGCTTAGCAACAACTGAAAACATCAGTGTGTTATCAACATTATTCTCATACTGAACCCAAAACATAACACTATACCAGCTACTAGGAAGAAAATTAACTCTATCCCAGCCAAAATGAGGACACCAGTGCATCTTCCCTCTCTGCTTCATAGTTCCTCATGCATCCCCAGCATCTTAGCTACACCGTCAGCAGCAGATCACTGCAGAGACCTGTGGGACTGGGTCTGGAATGCCTTTCAGGAGTACTTGGTCAGTCTAAGAGCAACCATCGGGTGCTTCTCACTGCTCCTGTGACCCAGAAATTCTTAGTTTACTGCTTCTAGTCCCCAGCCCCTGCCAGCTTCAAGGCAAAGCCCAAACAAAGCACCCCTTGTATGCTGCAGAGACAGGGAGGGACATTCACAGACCATCTCTGTCATGACAAAATCAAGATGGCATTCAGGTTCCTCTACACAAACACGTATATGTATACACACCTGCATACCTCTAGGCTCATCTTTGCCTAACACAATGCCACATATATTCATAGATATATGAACATATGTTAAGTTTTGCTAAAGTTTCCTTGCTCATTGGTGACAATGGTGTTGGCTGCCTTGGAGGATGTTTACTTCTGGCTCTGCAGACAGCCTCTCAGTTCAGGCTGGTAAAGCTTAGGGAGGTATTTGAAGTGGTGGACAGAGATGGAGAGAGTTTGCCCACTGTGAGGGCAACCCCTAGGGAGCAAGCTGGCTGCTCTTTGCACGGTATGCTGCATGCAGACAGACAAGGTATACTTAAATTTCAGAACAAATAGGTTTTGTCAGACCATGCAAAAAATAGTCCTCCTGTGCTCACAGGTCTTGCCAACCATTAGCACCAAGCACAACCTTCCCAGCAGGATAAAGCAGTAGTTACTTCACCTCACTGAGCATCTGTCCTGTGGGAATGCTTCTTGCTGACATCATGATTGCTGAGAGAAACTCTGCTGACTTTTGTGGGTGCAGGGATGGGTCTGAACCTCAGCCTGGGTTCGTAGTGGAATGGGGAGGCCATGAGGGCTGCAGCTTTCCCATAGCTGCTGCCAGCTGCTGTCTGTCTTGTGTCCAGGCACCATTCGCCTTCCTGCCCACATTCAGCCCTGAAAACTGGGCTTGCGGGAGGGATGAGTACACACACCCATCCAGGTGTAAGACCACACACGTATGTCTCTGGGTGGGGAAGGAAATATCCCCCCAATCTATGTTCTGCCACGGTAGAGTCCTCATTAGAGGTAACCGAGTCAGACTGTTGATCTTGCAGTAGAAGGTGTGGGAATGGGCAATGCAGCCGGGACTGACTTACTCAGTCCACTAATTTTATATATGGTGCATGTGCAGGACGGGGGAGAGGAAGAGAAGAATGTAACTTCTGGCACCAGTGAACACGGGTAGAGCTTGCCTTCAAGACCCCAAGAGTTTCACCTTTTTAACATGCTTGGTTAATTAGCAAATTAGGAAACCGTTCTGGAAAGCTGAGGCAGTCAAGTGCAAAACCTAACGATCCGGATAGCAGCTTTAATGCAAACATGCTTGGGTGAAATATTAAATCTCATGAAACAAAGAGGTCCCTTCTACTGCATCCGTGCTGGCACATCATACACCAGCTCCACGTGCCAGGGCCCCGAAGGCACCCACAGCCCTGACTGTCCCTGCCCACCCCCCCGGGCTCCCCCCACCCTGCCCGCGGCCCAGGACCCCACCTCAGCCCCCTGGGGCTGTCAGGCACGGCTACCTGCTGCCAAACAGCATTAATGAGCCCCCTCTCCAAACGTGGAGCGGGGTTTTAGCCAGCGTGTGACAGGACGGCAGGTACTTGGCCTGTAACAGCGTCAGTCCCAGCAGCCTTGCTCAGGGCGCCTCGCTGGTGGCCGCACACTCCCAGCCCTGCCGAATGCCAGCAGGCTTGCTGGCCTGTGAGGTGACGGCTAGTATTCAGCTAGACTCCTTCAGACTTTTTAAATACGTCCTTTTCTACTGATCTCGCTGCAAAACTGTGGCGTACTTCCCGTAGCGACGCTGCTGGTTGAAGAAACGAAGGCACCATCCCTCCCTCCCTCCTGCCACGCTGGCCCTGCCGGGAGCGTCCCCGCAGCAGGGCAGGTACGGGGACCCACAGCTCCGGCCTCGATGCCCCCTTCCCAGCGGGACGTGGATCAATACGTCTCAGATCCCACTCAGAAGCGGAGAGCTGTGAGCGTTTCGTATGCCACCAGAGGGAAGAGCGGGAAAAGAAAGCTGCAAAGGACTTGGGCCCAGGTTCTTCCTGTTAAACTGGAAAAAAAAATTACTTCCAGAGGCTCTCTCCAGTGAGGAAAACCCCAGCACGGAGCAAGCTGCGCCCTGAGAATTGGGGAACGGGCGAGGTGAAGGGAAGCTGAGGTGAGGTGGAGACGGCGCAAGACAAGTAAGTGGTCTTACTGGGACCGCTAGGCTGTGGCCGACTGGGACCTTACTGGGAGCAGACCGGTACCGAATTTAGACAGCAGTGGTTTTAGACTGAAGGAGGGCAGGTTCAGACTGGACACGAGGAAGAAGTTCTTCCCTGTGAGGGTGGTGAGGCACTGAACAGGTTGCCCAGAGAGGCTGTGGATGCCCCATCCCTGGCAGAGTTCGAGGCCAGGCCGGATGGGGCCTTGAGAGACGCGGTCTGGCGGAAGGTGTCCCTGCCCGCGGCGGGGGGTTGGACCGGACGGCCTCTTGAAGGCCCCTTCCAGCCCAAGCCGCCCCGCGTCCCTCCGAAGCCAGCAGCGCCCGGGGAAGCCTTGCGCGGCCGGCGGCGGGATCCCTCACGGCTCCCGCCAGGGCGGGAGCAGCCGCCCGCGCCCCGCGCTCGCCGTCTGTCGGCGGTGCCTT